CCGCCTGCTGGCCGCTGAACGCAAGCAGCTCCGCTACCACTGCGAGGGGTCCTCCGGCGCGCCTTGTTCTGGCCCGCGCCGCGCCCACTCTAATAGCCGCCCTTCACGGGCGGAAGCAATTGGATTGATGATGGCGACGGGAGGGAGAAGCGAGGAGAGAGGGACAGGATAGAGGCAAAGCGGGAACACGAAAAAAGGCCCCAGGACGGGCCAGGAAGGCCCCAGGAGGCCCCCCGGACAGTCCAAAAGGGCCCCGAAACAGCTCAGGATCGCGGCTGTACGACCCAAGACGGCCTCAGGACGGGTCAAAAGGCCCCAACACGCCTCAATAATGATCCGAAAAGGCACCCACAGGGCTCCGGGAAACAACACATACATAGCTTGACGTTGGTTCGGACAGTGCTGAGCGTTCTCGGCAGCTCGAGTGTCCAACGCTCCAAACTGGGGAACGAGCCCGAGATCGCCGAAAAACGGCCCAAGAAACCCCTGGAACAGCCCAGCGGTCTCATATTATTTTGTTAATTACTTTACGGATGGAGAAACGGCTCCGTGACCTCGCGAAAGCCGCCTCGAATGGACAAGGGCGGCGCTCTCCGCTTCCACTGGGTCCTGCTGGAGGACGAAGAGAGTACGTCTGCCCAGGAGATGCTGCTGCACCAGCAGGTCGAGAGCGCCAAGAACAAGAACCAGTTCCCAGGAACACAAGACCTCGGAGTGAGCAGCGACTAGGGCCGGGCTGGCGGGTGGGCTTTGCAGCCCACGCAAGTTTTATCCGGGGACTTCGCCGCGCAAGCCGCGCCGCAGGCCGCGGGGCTGCCCGCCGTGCCCGCGCCTTCCAAACGGACACCAGCCAACCAGCAGCAGGGAACCTGCCAATCGGGAGCCTGCCCATCGGAAGCCTCCCCTTGTCTTCCCCTCTCCCCCCTCCCATATAGATGCAAGGTAATCCCTGAGCAGGAAAGCAGGAGGGGGAAGAGGCAACGGGAAGGAAAAGGAGGGAGGAGGGTGAGAAAAAAGAGGAGGACACGGAGGGATGAAAGAGAGAGACAGAGGGGGGACGGATTTTAAAGAACTAGGAGAAAACACAGGCAAGATCGACGCACGGGCCGCCCTTAGAGATTTCGTGGTAGTCGCGTGCAGAGGCCCTGTTCCGTGAAGGGGCCTGGAGAAGGCCGGGGTCGGTGCACAGGTGGCCTCCGAGGTATTCGCTCCCATGGGTTCACAAGTTCTCGGAGGTCTTTGCGGCCTGCCCGGAGCTGCCAATTGTTGATTTTGTGCATATATGTGCTCTTTATCCAAGACTCCACCCTCTATTGTCTCAAATTCTGTTGTTTCTTAGCTGACAGATGGAAAAATCGGTTCTGTGACCTCGCGAGAGCCGGCTCGAAAGACAAGGGCGGCGCTCTCCGCTTCCAGTGGGCCCTGCTGGAGGACGAGGAGAGCACGTCTGCCCAGGGGATGCTGCCGTGCCAGCAGGTCGAAAGCGCCACGAACCAGTTCCCAGGAATACAGGACCTCGGAGTGAGCAGCGACAAGGGCTGCGCTGGCGCGTGGGCTTTGCAGTCCACGCAAGTCTTCTCCGGGGAGTTTGCCGTGCAAGCCGTGCCACGGGCCGCGGGTCCGCCCGCCGTGCCCGTGCCTTCCAGCGACTGCCGGCCGGCCGGCAGCCGGGAGCCTGCCCATAAGAGCCTCGCCCAATGGACCGCGCGCGGGCGAGCACTGTAATGTAAAATGTCGTCGCCGCGGCTAGGCCGCGGCGACGACATTTTACATTACAGTGCTCCCTCCACTGAACCCCGGCCCTACGGGCAGGCCCCCGGCTGCCGGCTGGCGGGCGGCCGCCTGGAAGGCACGGGCACGGCGGGCGGCCCCGCGGCCTGCGGCGCGGCTTGCGCGGCGAATTCCCCGGGGAAGACTTGCGCGGAATGCAATGCCCACACGCCAGCGCAACCCGTGTCGCTGCTCACTCCGAAGTCCTGCGTTCGTGGGAACTGGTTTTTGGTACTCTCCACCCAGTGGCACAGCAGCATCTCCTGGACAGGCGCGCTCTTCTCGTCCTCCAGCAGGGCCCACTGGAAGCGGAAAACGCCGCCCTTGTCTTTCGAGGCGGCCTTCGCGAGGTCACCGAACCGTTTTTTTTCACATATAAGCTAAGAAACAACATAATTTGAAACCATAGAGGGCGGAACACTGTATGGATATCACGCAAAAACACAAAATCAACAACTGGCAGTCCCTGGCAGGCCCCAAAGACCTCCGAGAACTTGTGAACCCATGGGAACGAATACCTCGGAGGCCACCTGTGCACCGACCCCGGCCTTCTCCAGGCCCACTCACGGAAAAGGATCTCTGCACGGGCCTCCCAGGAAATCTCTGAGGGGGGCCCGCGCGTCGACCTTGCCCCAATTGTTTGTGTTAATATTATAAGATTCGCCCCCTTTCTCCCCCCTCCCTCCCTCCGTTTCCTTCTCCTCTTCCTTCTCACCCTCCTCCCTCCTTTTCCTTCCCGTTGCCTTTTCCCCCTTTCCGCCCTTCTTCTCAGGATTTCCCCTGCATCTAGATGAGAGGGGGGGGGGGGAAAGGGGAGGCTCCCGATGGGCAGGCTCCCGATGGGCAGGTTCCCGGCTGCCGGCTGGCCGGCGGCCGCCTGGAAGGCACGGGCACGGCGGGCGGCGCCGCGGCCTGTGGCACGGCTTGCACGGCGACGGACCCCAGAGAAGACTTGCGTGGATTGCAAAGCCCACACGCAAGCGCAGCCCCTTGTCGCTGCTCATTCGGAAGTCATGCGTTCCTCGGACCTGGTTCTTCCATATGTAAGCTAAGAAACAACAGAATTCGAAACCATAGTGGGAGGAGCACTGGATGAATATCACACATAATAACAATATCAACAAAAGGCAGCTCCAGGCACGCCCCAAAGACCTCCGAGAACTTGCGAACCCATGGGAACGAATACCTCGGAGACCACCTGCGCACCGACACCAGCCTTCTCCAGGCCCACTCACGGAACAGGACCTTTGCACGCGCCTTCCAAGAAATCTCTGAAGGGGGGTTCGTGCGTCGATCGGGCCTGCGTTACAATTATCTCCGATTATATCGTATCCGTCCCCCCTCTTTCTCCTCCCTCCGCCGTTCCGTCTCCTCCTCCTCCTTCTCACCCTCCTCCATTCCTTCCCTTCCCGTTGCATATTCCCCCTCCCGCCTTCCTTCCCAGGGGCCCCCCTGCATGTAGATGGGAGGGGGGAGAGGGGAGGAAAAGGGAAGGAGGGGGACGAGCAGTGACGCAGAAATTGGCGCTGCGCCACAAGCGCCATGGCTGACGAGACATGGCGCTCGCGGTCCGGCGCCAAAATCACACGCGGCACGATGCAGAAACGCTCGCGCCAAACGCGGGGGCACGGCACGTGACGCGCGGCACGGCAGGGCACGCGGGGCGCATCGCGCACGGCACGCCGCGCGCGGCACGCGCCATGGGCGCGGCCTACGCGATCGCTGCGCGCGCGGCGCCACGCGCGGCACAGCGCGCGCAGCGCACGCGCGTTCAGAGACACGCAGCACGCGCGCACGGCGCGCCGCGCGCAAAAGTGAACGCCTTTGCGCGCATGCAGAACAAGCAAAGCACCCAGAGTGGCCGACGTTCGCGGATCGGGAAAGGGCACGATCCGTGATAAATTGAAATAACCATGCCGACAAGATGTCGCGCTCCCGCGAGGCCTTCCTTGATAGTCAGACGTCGTGCGGTTGAAACCGTTGAAGGGATTTCGATTGTCCCTGGTGGATTGCGAAATTGCCGATAACGCGCAGTGCCCCCCCGGCGAACCCCCGGCAGGGGGCGCGCGACGCAGTTGACCGCCGCGGCGCGGGGATTGCGCGGCCTCCCGTTGGCGGGAAGCGCGGCGACGCATCCTCTGCTGGAGCACAAGCGCAGATGCGCCGACGCAGAGCGCTACTGGACGACGCCAATCGGGAGAAAATTAAAAGGAAGAAGAAGTAAGGGCACGGGTCTTCCACAACGAAACCTTTTCGACGCGCGGCGACACTCGAACCCTGGATGCAAACGCGGAGGAACGCGTGTCCCACGCCCAAGGCAAGCACGGGCTTCCCGATGTTGCAAAGCTACTTGCAATTGGCTGCACAGCGCCCTCGCGGACGCCCTATCCGCTTCGCGAGGATGAGTGTTGCAAAGGTGTAAAACAAATCATGGACCATATGGGGCCACGGGTCCTGGCGAGGGTGAGCCGAAGTGGGCAGCGACACTGAGCGGACCCAGCCACTGGGGCCACAGGTGGAGCTCTCCGTGACGTGCCGCGAAGCGTGCGAAGGGTGCGCCGAGATGGACGGCGCCGCCGTGCTTGACCCTCCCGCCGAGGCCATCTGGAGTTCCTCAAGAAACGCCGAAATGAGCGGCGCCTCCAGGAAAGGAGCGGCGCCGCTGAGCTGGCCCTTCCACCGGGGCCGCAGACGGAGGGCCTTCTGGGGCCAGGAAACGCGTGAGTGTACCGGAATGTCGCGGCGCCGCCATACGTCGGCGCCCACTGGGGCGGTAGGTGGAGCTCCCTACGGAACCACGAAACGTGTGAGGGGTGTGCCAGGATGGGCTGGGGGACGCTCTATGGTGTCGGTCACACTGAGGGCTGAGGTGGAGCCCCATATGGGGCCGCGAAACACGTGAGGGGTGTGCCGAAATGGGCTAGGAGGCGCTGTGCGATCGGTCACAGTGAGGCCGTCGGTGGAGCTCCCGATGCGGACACAACTCATGCGAGGAGTGTGCCGACATGTGCGTGCGGGATCAGAGGCAGGCGGGAGGGGGGAAAGAAGGTGAGGAGGAGAACGCGGGGTTATGCGTAACGAATACGATCAGTACGAGGACCCAACACCACACGATGGCTGCGAGCAACACGATCGAAGGAGTCTCTCTACCTGGCCACGTCGTCGCAACGGACAAACCACGGCGCACGCAGCACACCCACACGGGCAGGAAGCCAGATCGCGCGGGAGCGTCCTGCTTCTGCGCGGCCTGTCAGCGCCACGTGCGACTCCTCGCCGAGGCGGGACCTGAGGGGCACAAAGTCTTGCGCCGACATACGCTAGGATGCACGCAGCCTGCAGCGGTGGCCGGACAGGTGTTGAACGGGCGGCACAGGAGAGCCTGCTGGAGGCTGCATAACCATCGCTGTCAGGCTGGACGCACCCCGAGACCCACCTCGCTACACACGGACGCGCCACGCCCGCCCAGAACTCAAGCAAGGGTGGCGGTGACCCCGAGAAGAAGCTCGCTGAGAGCACTGGGCGCCACGCACAACTCGGAGTCCGCGCGGGTGCCCACGTCAGCTCCGCCATGCACGCTGCCCCCTCGCACGGGGGGCACAGACGAGGCATGGCCCCGCTGACGCTGGCGGCTGAGCCGAAAGGTGCTGGCGCTTGCGCGGCAGCTCGGCGTGCTGCAAAATACGGCGCCCACGGCAAAAGAGATGTGTAGCGAATAAGGAACGACCGAACTGCACCATTGCACCGCCCAGTTGGGACCTGGTGCGCACACCTGGCTGGCGAAGCCAAGAGTGCACATGCACAGCATGCATCCTGGGCCGAAGATGTCCTGGCCAACGCGACGGCAAATGCAAGTCCCGGAACTAAGTCTGCTCGGTCATCTTGCTGCACATGCGTTGCAAGGACACACCAATGCGTATGCACAAAGATGCAAGGGTACTCGCAATGACGAATGGCACTCCCCTGCCCAAAATGCACATAGAGGCACGCTTCACAAATCACTACTGCAATCAACAAGCAATGATGTATCGCCCCGTGCCTGTTAACGCCAGCACCAGGATCGCCGCTGATCCAGCCACTGGTCGCAGCATTTCGTCTTCGAGCTCACCTGATTCAAGCACGGAGGCGATCGATGGCAGATGAAGGACACTAGCTGAAATATGAGTTTCGTGCTAGGCAAATATTAGTCAGTGGTGTTTTCTCTGTATCTCTACACTGTACTGTACATGTTGTGAAGTCGAGGGGTCCAGGACGCCTCTGGTGCGCATCTTGCAGCGTTCCAGGAGAATGAGGGCCTTGACGCATCCTGGAGCACTTCTGAAACCTCTTGGGGGGCCCGAAGATCCATGTGCGAGACCACCCTCTGGCAAAACGCCACTGTGGAATTCATCGCTCGCTGGAATACGCAGATTGCGCAATCTCGTTAGGAACAGGGTCATGAAGCGCATATTAGGCCTCACTCGAACGCACGCTCATGGACAGGATGACAAGACTTCACGAGCACCTCCCTGGTCTCGACGCTAAAAACAAAAAATGTGAGAAACTGTTGCTCAAAATGGTTGTCCCCCATCCGACAGGTTAGAACGCGAAATGATATGGGTGCATACGCATATGCTTATAACGTATACATACAGACACACACAGTGATACCTGCATGTATATATGTGTATAAACGTATATATGTATAGATGCATGCATGTATACATACATACATACATACATACATACATACATACATACAGACAGACAGACAGACAGACAGACAGACATACATGCATACATACATACATGTATACATACATACATATGTACATGCATGCGTACATACATACATACATACATACATACATACATACATGCATGCATGCATGCATATGCATGCATGCATACATGCATGCATGCATGCATGCATGCATTGCATGCATACATACATACATACATACACATGTACATACGTACATACGTACATACATACATACATACAAACATACATACATTCATACATAGATACATACATACATACATACATGCATGCATACATACATGCATAGCTACATGCATACATGCATGCATGCATGCATGCATGCATGCATGCATGCATGCATGCATGCATGCATACCGACATACATACGTACAAGGTGTTAAGGCTCGCTGCGTTTCGCCTTCTGATATTGATCAGTGCGCCTACGATGTTTATGGCCGCTGCGGTAAACATGCTGATTTAGCTGCAATGTTGCTCCTGCCCACCCTTTAACCTGACGCTGGGGAAGCTAATGTGACGCAGCTCCCACTGGCAACGAACCTGGCGCGCGTGGGCCAAACCTGACGCCAGGAAAGGCAATCGCCCAGCACGAGCGGGACGTATTTGCGGTCGTCAATTGTCTCGCGCGGGAGGTGACGATCGCAGTAGGCGGATGTGGCCGACGCTCAGGCGAGAGTGCCGCTCCTACTGCGGGAGACGGGCAGCGCTGGGGCGGTAGCAACGAATCTGGACGGGGAGGTGGCTGGCGTTCAAGCGAGGGCACCATGCTCAAATGAGGTTTGTGGGAATTGTGCGCACGGAGCAGCAGAACAAGACTGAAGCAAAGATGTGACCGGCGTTCCTGCAAAAGTATCATTCCCAATGGAGGATGGGGCCAACGCGCGGGCAACAGCACGACTCCCAGACAGGGATGTGGTTATCGCTCGGGCGAGAGGACCAAGGCTAACCAGGAATGAGGCTGGTGCGCGACCAGCAGGACCCAGCGCTGAGGCGTCAGTACCGCTCACATTGCAGAGCGTAGTCAATCCTGCAGTGGCTGCGCCAGTCGTGGATTGGGAGGTGGATAATGATGGGGGGGGGAACTTTACCCAACAATGTGGCAATCTCGGGAGCGAAGCGGCAGCACCGCACTGAATGACAGATGTGGCGCCTGTCCCATTGATATCCGTCCTCTGCTTCCTCCGTCTGCACCACCTCCTCATATTCCTCCTGCCGCATTCCTCCGTTTTCGTGGGCCTCCCCCTGGTCCTCGCTATCCTCACCCTCATTTCCTCCTCCTAATATTTCTCCTCCTCCTCCTGTTCCTTCTCCTCCTGATCATCATCATCATCATCATCATCATCATCATCATCACCACCACCACCACCACCACCACCACCATCATCATCATCATCATCATCATCATCATCATCATCATCACTACAAAATTTGTCCTCATCCTCCTCCTCCTCCTCCTCCTCCTCCCCGTCCTCCCCCTCCTCCTCTTCCTCGCCCTCCTCTGCTGGCCGAGCCCAACCGGCGCGCGAGCGGGCCGAAGTGAGGATGACAGCGACGACGGCGACGACGGCGGCCACGACGGGTGTCTGAAAGACAAGATCCCCGGACCTGTCCACGATGCGTTAAAACTATCATTTTCAAAGCAATCCAACCACGGCGACGGGAGAACCCGCGAATCGCAGAACAGGATAAGCAAGGAAAAACAACAAACAAAAAAATTGCCCGGGAGCCCAAAGCCCCCGCACCTTGGAGAAGGCGGGACACGCGGGGAGCCTGCGAACAAGGCCCAGCCAAGGCGGCAAACGTCTGGTACCTTGTCTTCTCCTCCTAGTCTTGATGAGAGAACACCGGCACATACCGACACGCACTGCCGCAGCAACAGGCGCAAAAATTTACAGCATACTGCGGGGGGCACACGGCCGACACTTTGGATGATAAAACTTCCGAAATTCGCACGCCAGGTGCGCCAATATCAGCGCATGTAAAGAGGCATCGCGTGCGTGTTTTTTCAACAGCCGCTGCCCCTTGCGACCTGGTTCAGAGGCGATTGCCTTCATGGCATGTGGGAAAACACACGGGAGATCGCACAGGCATTGGCTGACGTTGTCGTGGTCGCCTTTCTCGACTACGCGGACTGCCTGCGGGCGGTCTACGGCGCCAAGCACGATTAGGCCGACGTGGGCGCAGTAGCCGGCGCGAGCACAGCTAGCTGCATCGAAGAGGCGCGGGGATTGCGCGTCGATGTCACGGGCGACAACGTCGGCAAGAATACCGCGCAGCCGCAAATCGCCGGGGAACCTGATGACATGCTCGTTCTCGGTCACCCAGGGAATCCGCGGACCCTCAACTACAGTCCGATAAAAAATTCATGGAAATGGATTTCGCGCTCGCCTGGGGGCTACGTTCTTCGAGGCGTCGTCATTGAGGTTGCAGTGGTGCTGAATGCCTTGCGCGAAAGCGCGACGTCCACATTTCGTCTAATGCGTGCGGGCGTTTCGGTCCCACTGCTTTGCATGGCCTTGCGTTGAATCGAACACGGTCGCATTGCAGCGCGTCGCCTCATGCACGCGCGCGCACATACCACCAACCACGCACGCACGCGCACCACAAACCACTACGCACGCACGCAGACACACATGCACACGCTGCCGAATATGCACTGTGCGCTCCAACTCCCGCGTGATTGCTTGGTGGCGTGTCTCGTGCGGGCGTCCTCGCATGCTTGCGCGCTCACGTCAGAATGGTGATCTCCACTTTCGGTGGCCACTACTTGCTTCGATATTCAAGGGGTTCACGCCATTCCGCCGATCCGCAAGAAGTTCTTGGTTGTTATACTGTTCTTTTTTGGCGATATGAGTCCGGACAGGAAAATCGCATGGCTCGCGGATGTACTCGGCGCCGAAGGTTTCGTGGAGATTTGGAACCCTTCGAAACGCGCCACTGCATTCGGCGCCGAGGGTTTCGTAGCACTTTGAGACAATGTGAGACTCGCGGATGTGCTCGGCGCCGAAGGTTTCGGGCCCTTTGAGACCCTTTGGAACTGTTTGAGACCGCTTTCAGACCGCCGTCGGACGCGCCTGGTGCGTGGATTTATACAATGTCGTGAAGATTTTGAGACTCATCCGGCACTCGTTCTCTATAATACGAAATTAGGAGCCGGACAGTCTCAGGGAGGTTCGGGCGCGGACGGGGCCGCCGCCGAGCGGACGGGGCCGCCACCCAGGCGCGATCCGAGCGGTACTGAATTTTAGCCAACATTCTGGCCCACGTCGGCTCGACGCGCGTGCAGCGCTGCACGCGACTGATGGAAGTTGCCGTTGAGATGAAGCGCGCTCATGCTCCCATGCGAAAAGTGAGGAATTTCGTTTCCAACTTTTTATCTCCGTCTGTCCTATTCAGTCCGAGAAGAAATGCTTGGAAATGGATTTCGCGCTCGCCTTGGAGCCACGTTCTTCGAGGCGTCGCCATTGAGGTTGCAATGGTACTGGATGCCTTGCGCGAAAGCGAGATGTCCACATTTCGTCTAATGCTTGCGGGCGTTTCGGTCCCACTGCTTTGCATGGCCTTGCGTTGCATCGAACGTGGTCGCATTGCAGCGCGTCGCCTCATGCACGCGCGCGCACATACCACCAACCACGCACGCACGCGTACCACAAACCACTACGCACGCACGCAGACACACGTGCACACGCTGTGGAATATACACTCTGCGCTCCAACTCCCGCGCGATTGATTGGTGGCGTGTCTCGTGCGGGCGTCCTGGCATGCTTGCGCGCTCACGTCAGAATGGTGATCTCCCCTTCCGGTGGCCACTACTTGCTTCGACATTCAAGGGGTTCACGCCATTCCGCCGATCCGCAAAAAGCTGTTGATTGTTACACTAGCCTTTTTTGGCGATACGAGTCTGGACAGGAAAGTCGCATGACTTGGAACCCTTCGAGACGCGCCACTGCGTTTGGCGCCGAGGGGTTCGTAGCACTTTGAGACAATGTGAGACTCGCGGATGTGCTCGGCGCCGAGGGTTTCGGGCACCTTGAGACCCCGATCTCAGACCGCCGTCGGATGCGCGCGGTGCGTGGATGCATAAAATGTCGCGAAGATTTTGAGACTCACCCGGCACTCGTTCACTATAGCACAAGATTAGGAGCTGGACAGTCTCAAGGCGGTTCGGGCGCGGACGGGGCCGCCGCCGAGCGGATGGGGCCGCCGCCCAGGCGCGATCCAAGCGGCGCAGAACTTGAGTCAACCTTCTGGCCCACGTCGGCTCGACGCGCACGCAGCGCTGCATGTGACTGATGGAAGTTGCCGTTGAGATGATGCGCGCTCACATGCTCCCATGTCGTTTCCAA